CAACCACCGCACCACCTGCCCCAGCAGATCCCGGTGCAGCACCCGCGGCTGCAGGCCCTGAAGGAGGAGCCGCAGACGGTGCCCGAAATGCCCGGGGAAACACCGCCCCTCTCCCCCATCGACATGGAGTCCCAGGAGCGGATCAAGGCGGAGAGGAAGCGCATGAGGAACCGCATCGCTGCCTCCAAGTGCCGGAAAAGGAAGCTGGAGAGAATCGCCCGGCTGGAGGAAAAAGTGAAAACCTTGAAAGCGCAGAACTCGGAGCTGGCGTCTACAGCCAACATGCTCAGGGAACAGGTGGCACAGCTTAAACAGAAAGTCATGAACCACGTTAATAGTGGGTGCCAACTCATGCTAACGCAGCAGTTGCAAACGTTTTGAGGAGAGACTGTCGGGGGCTGAGGGACAACGGAGAAAAAAAAAATAACAGACACAGACTTGAGAACTTGACAAGTTGCGAGAAAGAGAGAGAGAGAGAAAAGAAGTGTCCGAGGACTAAAGCCAAGGGTATCCAAGTTGGACTGGGTTGCGTCCTGACGGCGCCCCCAGTGTGCACGAGTGGGAAGGACTTGGCGCGCCCTCCCTTGGCGTGGAGCCAGGGAGCGGCCGCCTGCGGGCTGCCCCGCTTTGCGGACTGGCTGTCCCAGCGCAAACAGAACCTTAGACTTTTCTTTAACATTGACCAAGAACTGCATGGACCTAACATTCGATCTCATTCAGTATTAAAAGGGGGAGGGGGAGGGGTTGCAAGCTGCAATAGAGACTGTAGATTGCTTCTGTAGTGCTCCTTAAGAATACAAAGCGGGAGGGGTCGAGGGGGGGAGGCGGGAGGGAGGTTTGTGAGAATGCGGCTGAGCCTACAGATGAACTCTTTCTGGCCTGCCTTCCTTAACTGTGTATGTACATATATATATTTTTTAATTTGATGAAAGCTGATTACTGTCAATAAACAGCTTCATGTCTTTGTAAGTTATTTCATGTTTGTTTGTTTGGGCGTCCTGCCCAGTGTTGTTTGTAAATAAGAGATTTGGAGCACTCTGAGTTTACCATTTGTAATAAAGTATATAATTTTTTTTATGTTTTGTTTCTGAAAATTCCAGAAAGGATATTTAAGAAAATAAAATATTGAAAAAGTACCCCTCCCCCAACCTCTTTTCTGAATTATCTATAGATTACCTATCTATCTAGGTGGAGTTGAAAGAGTTAAGAGTGTCCATTAAAATCACTCTCAGTGCTTCTTACTAACAAGCAGTAAAAACTATTCTCTACTGGGCTTGAGAAATAACTGTGGCTGATGCTCTCACCAAGTTATGCTCTTCCCTCCCCCACTGTCTAGGTAGAGTTGCTTACAAAGGATCGTGTGGCTTTTAAGGGGGCTGAGGGAGGGGAGGTTGTGGTGAAGAGGGACAGCCCACTGGGAAGTCAAACACTTTAAAGTTTGGATTATCAAGTGGCATGTGCTGTGACCATTTATAATGTTAGTAGAAATTTAACAATAGATGCTTATTCTCAAAGCAGGAAAGCTGGCAGATTTTTACAAAAGATGTATCCTTCCAATTTGGAATCTTCACTTTAAGAATTCCTAGATTAAAAAGATGGTCGTTGCTTATGAATATTTATAACAGCATTCTTGTCACAATAAACGTATTCAAATACCAGTAACAGATCTTGAATTGCTTTCCCTTTACTACTTTTTTTCTTCCCAAGCCCTATATTGAAGCTTTTCTTTTCAGTTGCAGGGGTTAACATTACTACCATCTGAAGAACTTAGTAAGAGTCAACACAGAATTGCAATATGGATGAAACAGTTACATTAATTCTTTCTCTCATAAACATCTATGCCTAGACAAATTATCAGTATAGCAGTTGACCATTTTGGATTCTCCTATAGTTTACTTCGTAGTTTATTTCTAAAATAATCAACCTGTTTAATTATTTTGGCATCAGTCTCAAAAGATGGTCATCTATATACTATGGAAAACATTTGCAAGAGAAAACACAAACAGCATCACGATGATTACATGTGTAAATCAAACCTTGACTCTGGGGAAATGGCGAACTTGAATTCTGTCTGCAGATATAACTTAGATCAACAAGGCAGCACTCAACAAGGGAATAATTTTTGCTTACTTGTTTTTCATCCCAAGAGCCAGTGTCATTATCAAGCAGCAAAAGCAATTTGATATCCAGGAATATTTATTTCACAAACCACTAATTGAGGCAGGGCTGTTTGCTCATTAGCAGTGCTCTAGTACCCAACAGGTCTGGGAGTACTAATTTCCTGCCCATGGCTGTAAATCCACAGACACAAAGAGATTCTCCTTAGTATATCTAGAGGTGGAAGAGACTGCACAGGCTTGTTAGCTATCAGATCCACCCCATTCTTAATAACACTTTTTAACAAAGGGTTACTGGGAGCAGAGCAGGGTTTGCCAAACAGTGAATTTGCCGATGTCAGCAACCCGGAAGGTGAGTTGATTTTGACCATATGTAGAAATAGTCAGCAGAGGGACAATAAAGCACTTTGGGGTGGGGCCTTGTGGAAGCTAAACAAGAGCCAACTAGAAAAAATAAGCAGGCTGGAGAATTAATTACCTGCAAAGGTAGACTAAGCCCAGACAACAGTGCAGTACAGAAAAGCCACACCACTCCCCCGTTTGCTTTAGACTCCAGGGTTTTAAAAAAAAAAAAAAAAGCCTGAAACTCAGGCTTATCTCCACACTTGTTTATTTCAAATAACGTTCCAACTGTATATCCCTGAAATTCTAAAAAAAAAGGGTTAGAAAAAATAATTGTGGTGATCTATAAACTTTGGAGACAGAAAATCCGCTAATTACTTATAAACACTCAAAGTTAATTTTATTTTGGCATTCAATGTTATTGTTTGGGTAACACTAATAGTTGGAGAAAACGAAGTTAGTACATAAAGCCATCGATCCTCTTTTAATTTGTTTTATATGCGAATATATGAATATTTCCACTAGAAAATTTTAACCCCTTGTGTCCATTGGAGCAGAGGGTTCATGAACGCAATGAAAATGCCTATAAACTTGTGTGTGTGTGTGTGTGTGTGTGTGTGTGTGTGTGCGTGTGTGTGTGTTTGAATGTGCACACATGCTCTCACACACTCACCTCCTGGGGAGAGAGATCGTTAGCTTTTATTTGGTTCTCACAGAGTTCCATGACTCAAAAGAAGTTAATAATTCCCAAGCTACACATTCACTCTAAGAAGCACATCTTTGTGTGCATCTGAATCCCATGCCTTTTCACCTCTCCATGCTTCTGCTTGTGCTCATTGCTCTGCCTGATATACTTTTCCTTCTGGTTCCACTGATGAATCCAACCCATTTTTCAAGGGTGGGCATAAGTGGCACCTTCTCTGTAAAGCCTTTTTTGCTAACTCCATCTTCAGGGGGAATGAATATTCCCCATAGAGCACCCATAACACTTTATCAAAACTTCTATGATAGCACATTATGAACCTCTGTATCTCCTGGCTAGAACCCTGTCCTCCTCATCTGTGGACCCAGACTCCTAGTACACTGCCTGGCATATACAGGATGTAAATGTGTGACGACTGAATGAACAATGGGGCTTACATCCTCCTCCAAAATAATTCCAGGTCTTAATTTCTTTGGGCGAAATATACCTCATTTGTTTCCAGGTACGCAATTCCAGATGGATTGAAGACCCCCAGAAAAGCCAAATCTGGGCAATCACCAAGTTCCAAAGCCTAGTTCTCAGTGAGTGATCTTAATAGAGTTAAGCTCTCAGCACATTCATTCTCCCAGTCACAGAGTCCCTTCACTCCCCACTAATGCAAGTGGGCACCTTCTTATATAAAAGGGGTCTGCCTGAAACATTGGGCTTGGAGGTAGAGATGGGAAAGAATAATAAGTGGTCATTTGGCAGGCACCAAAAAAATAGTTCCAGATGTGGCTTTGTTAAAAGCAACCACTTCATTGGTATTGCCGGAGAGGACTTTATGTCTATAAAGTTAATGTATTTCAGGGGTCCAGAAGTCAGTACCCAATATTTGCTTGATAGCAACAATGATTGTGATAATGTATCTATTGCCCAGGTTCTTTTATTGTTAGAGAATATGTGCATAGGATGAACCAAGGAAAAAGACGAAGCCTTTTAGTCTGCCCAGTCCCTTGCCTCCACCACCTACTTCTAAGTTGGTCATGTGAAATGTCATGAAAGAGGGAAGAGCGTTGGAAGCTGGGCTGGCCCCAGAAAGTAAAACTATCCCTCGCTTACTCTGGAATCTGGCCCAGTTATTTGGCTGGACTTTTGACATCCCAAAGAAGGGCATTCCCTGGGCCTGGGTCTCGTTGAGGCCTTGTGCTAACTGTGGGTATTCAATGATGAGCAAGACATAATCCCTAAGCTTAAGGAACTCATGGTCTAGTGGGGAGGAGTGTGCAGATAAAGCAGAAGGAAGTGCCAGTGATGGGAGGAGGAGCCAATTATCAGGAAAGACTTCATGGGAGAGGTAACATTTGGGCTGACCCAGTGGGACTCACCAGGCAGGAGAGGTAGGAGGAGGAACTTCTGTGCAAAGGCACGGGGGCATAAAAAAACATGGTGTTTTTAGAGACTTGTAAGCTGCTTGTGGAGGCTGGGAATGAAGATATGAGAGGGAAAATGAAGGGAGATGAAATGAGGAAGTTTAAGGGTTAAGACAAAATAAATGAACAAACAAAATTGAAACAGACTCAGACACAGAGAGCAGACTGGTGGTTGTCAGAGGGGAGGGGGGTTGAGGGACTTGTTGAAAGAGGTGAAGAGATTAAGAAATACAAATTGGTACTTACAAAACAGTCACAGGGATGTAAAGTACAGCATAGGGAATATAGTCAATAATATTACGATAAGTATGGATGGTGCCAACTGGGTAATGGAAATATCAAGTGGAACACTTTGTAAAGTATATGATTATCTAACCTGAAACCAATACAAAATAATACTGTGGGAAAATGAAATCAACAGGTGTATTTAAAAAAATTAAGGGTCAGGTTGTTAAGAGTTTGGATATTATCCTGTAAGTGATGGGGAAATGTAGGAGTAGAAGCAGAGCAGGAATATGACTCTCTCAACTTAAGAAAGAGTCATGCTCACAACCATTTGGATGATGGACTGGTGGGGAAAAGGCTAGGGGAGGTGTGTAATACCAAAGAGAGGTTTTTAGTTTAATTTAAAGTGCCTGTGGTATTTAAAGTAGTTCTAGAGTTGGGGAGAAATGGGAAGAAGATGGCTTGGTTCAAAGCTACATCATGCCACAGTTCTTCCTACACAACTTTCTGAGAAGTTAGGCCTCAGGAGGGATATCAGAAGTTCACTTTTCACCTAGGCTGCTTGTCCATATTTAAGTTTTCCTCTCTACTGTGTCAATTTGGCACATGAAGGAAGGGAAGTCATCTTACCAAATGGTCCAGAGCTCCCCTGCTCAGCGTCAGTATCATCAAATGTACAGATGTGAAAGGAAGAGGCTTGTGACTACCTAAACTACCTAAACTGGTTTGATGGTCACAGTACAGAGTTGGTCCTCACCACTGCAGGACCAAAACCTAATTTTATCTAATCACCTAGGATTGATGAAGTTCAGTGGGATGAACTGGCCCAAACTATACAAATTCTTTGATGTATAAACTAAGAGATGGTGGTTTTATTTATGTTGGGAGGATTGAATTATAACACTTTACACTCATATAACACATTTTATTGAGCAAGCAATACTGAATTCCTATTTCGTGCCAAGCACTAGAGATGCAGTGGAGAAATCCACAAGATGCCTCCCCTCATGGAGTTTATAATCTGCTAAGAGGCACCCTAAACATTTTGACAAGTACAGTTGGCCTTTGAACAACACAGGTTTGAAGTGTGAGGATCCACTTATACACAGATTTTTTTTCAATAAATACTGTAAATGTATATTCTCTTCCTTATGCTTTTCTTAATAACATTTTCTTTTATCTAGCTTACTTCATTGTCAGAACAGTATATAATACATGGAACATAAAAAATATGTGTGAATCAACTGTTTATATTATCAGTGAGGCTTCCAGTCAACA